TGGAGGCTTTAATACAGCTATATTGTATGCTTCCGCGGAAACCGAGAATGTATCGAGTGTTCTCAGAGGGTCTTCTGGGGTAATAAAAGTTGTAAAGCGCATAGAGCATTCTCTTGAACATAGATATGTGCTATATAAATGCAATTATAATTACTATTATATTTCAGGCCTGCTTAGTGTATCTAAGACAGTGCTCAACGTTTCGCCCCAATTCAGGCTTTATTTAGAATAAAGCAAAGGGAAATAATAAAAATAAAACAAAACAACCCCCCACCCCCCTAAAAAAACCCAAACAACAACAACAACAACAAAAACCAACAACAAATAACAAACCAGACGCCATAACAACAAGGCATCCAATATAAGACGTTTTGTAAAAGGGCCAAAGAGAAAACTGATGTTCAGGTCATTCATGATCAATACAAACACATTCGGGAGAAACCGGACAGAATGACAGAGTGTTCCCCGAAACCTCCTTGAACTGCTCTCCGTCAACTTACCAATCCTGACAAACCTACTCATCTACACCAAAGCGACAACACATCTTTCTTATCCGCAAAATGACCATTTACGCCCCGCCCCCATAAAACCCCCCCAACAAAAAACAAAAAAAACCCAAACAAAAACATCCATTCCCAGAATCCCCCGTGCAGCGAACAAAGGTGCAAACTTGCCCCTACGTGACAGTAACCGACTAAAGAGGCCCATTTCCTAAATTGACGAGAGCCTGATTCCAACACGCTGCCTCACATATACTTACAGCAGACAGACAGAAGAAGTTCAATCTGCTCAGTATATAAGTTTTGAGAAATTCGACGTCAAAGATTTCGAGTTTTTCACCATGTCAAGGTGTTTGGAATGTAATTCTTTGAATAATTATATTGATAACGACTCCGAATACTTTTACGAGTTTGATAGAGCAGATAGATCATTTGGTTTCTGACCTCAAGGTAGAAGTAACTCAAAATGGCCAAAAAATATCAGATATAACGTAATAATTCTAAGGTAGCGATTTGCTACACTACAATATGTGATACTATGGTATTGGAAGAAAACATTCGTGACCAAATTTTGAGCAATTCTGGTATTAACAAAGGAATTAACACCCCCACCCCCACCCCCACCTTTCAAAAAATCCATTTTCATAACACACAAATAATATATATATG